TGATTCAGCATTATGTGTAGTTATGTCCATTCATCATAAGCAAAAATAACTATTTCATTGTGATAAAGAACAGTTATTTTTACTGAGCCTTATCTGAACTTGTTTGGCACAGCAAGCGGGAGGTTGGAAAATGCCTTTATCATGAAGGTAAAACATTATTAAAAAGAGGACTCTGGAAGGAAACAAAGCTGTTGGCAAACTGTGGAGTATTTTTACTTGGCTTCAAATATTCATTTTTGTTATAAATTAGATCTCACCATTCAGCCTTCTCATCTTGTGCATTAACATCAGTTCATGCTCATTTATTTGCACTTGCTAAAAAAAACCAAACATAAGTTAAAATAATTTTAAAAAGGAAGGTGCTGGAAATGATGAAGCAGAGTAAAATGTATAATGCTTCCCAAATATGGTTATATAAATAATTTGACTATACTGTAGTTATAAATGTGTGAGATTTAAATGTTCAACATGAGGTAAGGGCATTTAATCTAGATGAACTACATATTGTGTGACAGATCATACAAAATCTTCAAAGAACTTGGGAAAACTAAAAATAATAAGGACTGCTGGATTTAAAACCATTTTGACAATATATATAGAAAGAAATATTGGTTCCTTTAATGGAAACAGCAGAAGCCTGAATAAAAGCATCAGCTTTCTATGTGTGGAAGGTGGAATATTTCCCCTGAAGCAAAACAAAACAAAACAAAACAAAACAAAACAAAACAAAACAAAAACAAAACAAAAAAACCTACAGAAATGTTCTGTAACCCACCCACAGTGCTGGCAGTGCCCACAACTCCTCAGTAACCTCTGTTTGACTTGTCACTTGGAAGACAAATTTGTTCATATTTCAAGACTGTCAGAGTGCCTTTTCTGCAACTGTATTAGTAATTAGCTATGCCTTGTTAGTGCTCAAGGCATGTACATGTGTCACATTGAAATGAAGGGTTAGTTTTTCTCTGTTTCACATAACACAATGACCTTTCAGCTTTGTAGTATCAACAATGACCCACAATATTGACAAAAATATGTCAATAGATTTTTAAATGTCTGCATTTTATTGGACTATATTATAAAAATGATGCCTCTGTAAATGTTTTAATGATTTTAACATCAGAGGTAGACAACTCCAAATTAGAGCTTTGGGGAAAATCTTTCCATTATTTTCCATTCAGGCCTTATCTTAATGAAGCTGCCGAACAATTCAGAGATTTTGGGTCCCATCAGCTGCAATTGATCTGGATGTAGCTAGGATCAATCCCTTGTTTCTTAATTGCTTTGTAGGAGTCTCTGTCTTTGAGAACAATCAGCAAGCTATCTGTCAGTCTTGTGTCACCAGTAAAAATGACCTTGTATAGTTATAAGGAATAATAATTTACTTTATGCACATTGATTATGGATATCTTTTCCCAGACACAAGCATTTTGGAAATTTCATGGCAGGCACGATACAATGAAAGCACAATGAGGTGAATCCATATAAGTACATGGTACTATCAATCAAAAGCTATAGAGTTCACATCCTCTGCTGAGATACATTCAGCTCAGAGGGGGGCAGGTTACTGGGAAGCAAGTTATACACCATGAAAATCAGGGAAGCCTTTGCACTGAACCTACCACATCAAAGTGGATGGCTTTGGTCTCTGTGGAACCATATTTGTCAACTGAGAATTGATGTTGCACAGGGACATTGCTTTTCTCAGTACTCCTGTTCTCGGGCCCTTTATCATTATTGGGAGGGCAATTGTAAAGGGGCCAGCCTGCTTCTTTAGGCCCAATAATCTATGGCAGGGGTATTCTTTCTTGACCAGATAAAGCCAGAATCACCACTTCCACTGCCGAGTGCTAGAACAAGAAAGAATCTGGGCTTAGAGGACTTGAGAATTGAAGTTTACATTTATTCCAGGAACCTGCCCCCTGTGGATTTGAAATCATTGATAAAAATGGGCAACCCCCTCGAGATGCTGTATTTACAGCTCCAATGGCAGTTTTCTTCCTAAACTACTACTTCCAGCTCAATTGTGTCTGTTTCATTGCAACCTTCCAAACGTCTTTTAAATGTGCTGTAGCCTCAGCTACCTCTGTTTCAGCTTCTCTCTCCATTTTATCTCAGAAGGTCATGTGCCCCTGACTCAGCTAGAAGTAGAGCAACAACCGTTAGTTGTCTTGGTGCTGAGAATATATTTGCTGAGTCTGGACAATTTTGCACTGTATTCTGTTTGATAGTTTGTTTCTGTCTGGGGCATCATTGGTATCCCTGCACATCTTTAAAGGGTTTTTTAACCATAGTGTATGTACCTGTTGTAACTGTATTATAATATTGTTTTCTCTGTCCTGAACCTTTGCAGTTTTCAATGGTGACAATAAAAACAGCTGCTATTTTGTGAGGCAGAGTTGGTACAGCATGCACACTCTCAGAGAGACTCCCCCCTCCCTTTTAATTATGCTTTATTTCCCACAAGAAAAAAATGTGTCAGACTGAAAGCATGTGGCTGCTCTTTCTGTATGTAAAAACATAATGGCTGAGAAGGGTGAAAATAAAACGGCATAGTAATCCTGTGTAGAGTGGAACCTACTGATCTGAGTAACTAAGATCTAAATTGCTTCTAAATAGTGGGAACTCTCACACCAGTTCCCATCTAGCTTAGCTACTGTAGAGCCTGTGCAATTGGTGCTCACATTAAGCACAGGGATCAAAGGATAATTTTATGGAGTGTACTTTCTGAGTTCCTTGTTCAAAGCTGCCCTTTTTTGCTTTAGCTAAACCAAAATGACATCTGCAGATGCTGAAAAGCTGGGCAAAGCAGAAGGGAGAATCTCTAGGTGTTATAGAGTCATTCTCCTCTTACCAGCTGAAAGACCATATCAGGGTTGTGGTTAAAAATGAAAGAAAGGGGGAAGGATTCAGTGGCAGTCTTCCACTATAGGTCCCATCCCAATATTTATGAGACTGTCCCCATTTTCATATGATCACTTGTATTCTGCAATGCCTATTAATCAAAGAACCCTGACCATCTTGGCATCACAATCTAGGGTTGTATTTTGATGGAACAGTGCAAGAAATAGCATGCCATGGCATAGGTGAGAGACAACAAAACTTTTTTCTAAAAGTGGGAAGGAGGAGAGATAGAGACAGGAGAAACCTGTATCAAAGCGAGGGAGAACTAGCCTAGAAAGTCATTGAAGCATATCAAAATGATTAAATTAAACATCTGGAGAGGCAGCTAGTAACCTGAAAGAGGTTGCTGAAGTGAACCACATCAGGACCACCTGTCAGTTGATAAAACAACTCAGTGGAAATGAAAAGTAGAACCTGTATGTGAAAAGAAAAGTGAGAAGAGGCAAGTAACCTCAAATTATGATTTACTCTATAGCAAAGATTCCTTTCCCACCAAATGAACAATCATACTCTGAAAGTCCCAGGAAAGAACTATGAAAATTAAACCTATTACCTTGGAATACACCAAAGAAGCAGTCACATAAAAGATATGTGGGCTGTCAGGCTGTATCAAGAAACAAGATATATAAAAACTAGTCTGTGTTTAAAAAGGGTTATGGTTAAGACACTTTCAGTACTGTAGCTATCAGGTCATTGAGTTACTTCCTAAAACAGACAATTTCTCTCTGCTGATGAGTTGTTAAAGGAAAAGACTGATGTTTATTGTTGCCAAGATTTACAATAAAATTCCTTTGAAGTGAGTTTATAAACTTTTCATTTCAAAAGATTAAAGAGATAATATGAAAAAGAAAAACTATATCAAACACATTCTTTACCCTTAGATGGATAACTTAAGGAAAACTTAACTTTTATATACCTTCAGATAAGCATCTCATTTTGAAGCTAAGAAAGTCTTCTAGTAAATACCATATTTTCAGATCATGTGGAATTTTATCTGTTTTATGAATATTTAAGTCTCCTGTCTCTCTATGGTAGGCTCTCTACTCCATTCTATACATAAGAAGAGTACAGTATTAATCTATATCTAACTGCGCAAACATTGAATATTAAATCAGAACAAAATTATGATTTATTATATATTTACTTCAGTTCATTTAAATGGGAAGCTTGAGAGTTGGGAAACTTGTCAGATACTGTGGTTTCCAAAGGTGGAAGTCTTTACCAACAGGACTCCGATGATATCCTCAGTAGTCCTGAGTTCTCTGAAGACATTGGTTGGAGCTGAGGACACTGACAGTCAGATAAGTAGCTACATAAATATTCATGTTGTCCTTCAGACTCTGTAGGTGGGTCTCTTCCATGTCCTAAAATAAATCTAGTAAGCTACTATCAGACTACCTATTGGAGTAGAAATCAGGAGGGAGTCCAGAAATGGACCTAAACTTACAGGGTACGTCTAAACTACAGGCTTTTGTCGACAGAAGTTTTGTCGACACATACTGTTGACAAAGCTTCTGTCGACAAAGAGCATCTAGACTACATTCAGTTCTGTCGACAAAGCAAGCTGCTTTGTCGACATGGCAGTGTAGACACAAAGGACAGTTTAGATGCAATAATGCCTTCTGTTGACAGAACTCTGTCGACAAAAGGCGTTATTCCTCATAAAATGAGGTTTACCAGTGTCGACAAAACTGCTGAGTTCTGTCGACGTTATGTCGACAGAACTCAGCGGTAGTGTAGACGCAGGTTTAGTTTTGTCGACAAAAGTCCACTTTATATTATGCCAAGCCTGGTCTTCTCTAGGGAGTTATTTTGAAATAACACGAGGAGTGTCCACACTACCAACCCCATTGTTTCGAAATCTGTACTGCTTTCCATGAGGAATAATGCCTAATTTTAAATAGCTATTTCGAAATAGTGGTAGTATGGATGCTCCACTGCTGCTATTTTGAAATAGCTATTCCTCAGAGTCATTCAAAGTAATTACTGGGGCTCTAAATCTAAGTAACATGTCCACATTAGGGGAGCCTGCCTCGGACTAATTTTGAGGTTTCCCTGTAGTGTGGACGTGCTATTTCAAAATTGTTATTTTGGGAGTTAATATTCAGAATAAGTTATTTCAAAATAATTTCTAGTGTAGACATGCCCCAGGAGTCTTGTGAGTGCTGCATAGACTAATGCCCCCCCACCAAAATAACCTCCAGCAAAAAACACCCGTAAAGAAACACCAACACTACCACAAACTGCTAGGAAATGCTAGGAAACGATTGCTAGAAATCCGCTAGGAAATAGTTGCTAGAAATCAGTGAAGTTATAGGAATGTGAAACCCAAATAACGTATTGATGAATGAGGCCCAGTACGTGGATAAATGTCCCTACAGTGAGATTTATTAGAATAGCTTTGAATGGAAGTGGTACAAGCACCATAATTCTGTCCTCTTAAATTAATGTAGATGAAGTAGTAGGGGTGAAATCCCATTGATTTTAGCAGGTTCTAGATTTCACCCTAGAAGTTCTATTTCAGGGAAGACTCCTGCACTGGAAGAAGACTGGGTTCAGTGATAGACTAAGTCCTATTCAACCCTACTTTTTATATCTATCTTTGTAGGCTATGCCCTTTTAAAACAACGCAGAATTGCTTTATTCAGTTTTTTTTTAAATATAATCACGTCATAAATGGGTTGCCCTTAAACTTAACATTAATTGTAGTTAATTACACATTTTATAAACCTATTTTCATAAGGTCACTCCTCTTTAACACTTCCAGATCTAAAATCCCAGCTATATTGAAATTGCTTTGCAAATTCCTGCCTCAAGGATACCTAGAGAGACAATATGATCTCTGCTATTACCAGAAGAGAGTACATATGGAGCAAATAGAGAGTGATCTGAAAACGGACAGAATTCAATTTACTTTTGATTATGTAGTGCATTTGTGTCTTCATTTTATTAGCTCTGATGTTATACAAAAGATCTCACTAATCCAATTGCGTCCGAGGCTTAGTCCTTTAATGGGGGCCTTGACAAGGATGAGCTCATATAACTTACCATCAACTCATGTTCACTCTTCCTAAGCAGCTACTCTCAACATTATATGAATTAGATATTGTAATGGCTCATTGCTTTAGCTCTCTCTGTGCTGCTATGCTGAAAGCACTGCTATAGATTTCTGTGCCCTATTTAATGAATGTGCTATGGTCTTAAATCAGGAGTTTTAGGAACAAATTCTACTGCTGGAGAAGTCCACAAGGATACCTTATGATTGCTAGCACATATCTGCCTGAATGAAAGGTAATGGGAATCAATTCTAATCCTTCCCTCCTTGTAAAGTGGATTGGCATATGATTTTGACTATGGGTTACCAGACCTAGCTAATCTAATCTCACCAGTCTTTTATCATGTTCTCATCACTGTGATACCTGAACATGCACACTGAATGCATGGTCAGCATTCATTTACTTTCTGAAACTATAGATGGATCCACATTTAAACTTGAAGTGATGGATCAAAACTACAATTCCAGCTGCCAAATGAATGATGTGTTCCTAATTTACACTCCCACCTGAAATGACAACACATGAAGCATCCTATTAAGTGGTCCTGATTTCCCACCTTGTGTAATCCTTACCTCTGTGAGCGCAAAGTGGGAGTAAAAATCTGATTTGATAACATTTTACACCCACACAGGTGTAATTCATAACCCTACTTTCATAAGGTCACCCTAGTTTAATACTTCAGGATCTAAAATCCAAGCTATATTGACTGCAGAATTTATGCAAGGAATATAACAGTGCCTGGCTTTTTTTTTTAGAATGTTTTTGCTTCCACAAACAATTTGACTGTGTTATTATTACACATTTCCTGTAGAAGATGCCATTCAATTACCACAAAGACATGGAGAAAACGTCAGTCTTCTTTTTACTTATCAGTCAATAACTAACCACATAGTGTACAAGATTTTTTAAAAAACAATCATTAATAATTAGGCATGGAAGAACAATCTTGAAGGGGAAAACCCAGAAACCTAAGTCCTTCCTATTAAAAAAGAATTCCCAATTTTAAACAAACCTACATTGAATTGTTTGGTTTAGCATATTCAGATAAAACTTTTTCAGCTCTGGTCCCCCACCAGGATTAGATACGGGAGTCAGGAGGCAAAAGTTACCATAGAAGAACTGTTCTGGAGAGAATTTTTTCCCACTCTTGTGGGCTCAAAGAGGAAGTGTTCATGTAGCTATCATTAAAGCTGTTCTTGGGCATGGGAATCATCTGGTCTAGGAGCAGAAATATGTCACATAACTTTGGTGACCAATCACAGCACAAATAGCAAATACTGAATAGTGAATACCTAATACAGGCAGTCCCCGGGTTACATGGCTCCGACTTACATCGGATCCCTACTGACAAACGTGGTGAGGCAACCCCGCACTAGCTGCTTTCCCCCAGCAGACCAGGGAGACGTGAAGCTAACGCCCTCCCCCAGCAGACCAGGGAGACGCGGAGCGGCTTTTCTCAGAACACACCTCAGCTTGAGAATAAAGGACTGAGGGAAGTGAGGTGTGGGAGAATAAAACTGAGCTCTGGAGAAATGTTTGGCTAGAGTTTCCCCTACAATATGTACCAGTTCCGACTTACATACAAATTCAACTTAAGAACAAAACTACAGTCCCTATCTTGTACATAACCCGGGGACTGCCTGTAAAACAAACCCGGGGACTGCCTGTATAGTCATTGCAGTAATTAGCTTACAATCAATCTAGCCACACACTGAACTGCATTCACAGAAACGATTGGCTGAACATTGTACTTTCTTCATGGCAGCACCTGTCTCCTGTGTATTTATGTATGCCTGTGGATTGAAGCCAGAGAGCGCTGAACTCAGTACTGTTATCTGTTGGTGAAGGGGGAGGAGAGCAACCCAGAGCTGCTTAAGATCTGCAGATGAGCAAGGGTTCTGTTGATACATCTGTTGGAGAGCAGAGAGAGAGATCAGATGGGTCAGTCCTTATTTACTTTCAGTTTTCTGATGTTTTGATCAGAGTCAGATTTATACCCTATGCACTCCTAGACACAGCATCTTCAGTGCCTGCCCACCCACAGACCCTCCTCACTGTCCAGCACCTTCCCCTACAGTCCCTCATCACAGGTGTCCTGTGCCCCACACAGACACTCCCCTCTCTCTGCCCAGTGCCGCAACACACACAGACCTCTCCACCCTCCATTACCCAGCACCCCTCTCCTCTGTACCAATAAACCCAATCTCCCATGCGTTGACACCTAGACACACTCACTGGCCTCAATGGAAGATACCTTGGTTTGCCAGGCTTGTAGCTGGGGCTAGTTGAGGATCACTTCGGCCTCTTGGAAACAGGGCCTGCCCAGGCTGGATTCCCTCAGGGCCTGCTTGGTCTGCAGGACTCCTCTCATTGGACTTTTCTCCTGCCACATAGGGCTATTTCACCTTTCTTGCTGGCTGGAGCACTCCAGAAGGGCTGTGTGGTGCCATCTCCCACTCAGCCCCCACCGGAACCAGAACAGCAAACTGACTTTTTTGTTTAGCACACAGTTGGGCCACCCTCAGTTGTATGATAATTAGGCTGCATAGGGCCATGGGCTGCAGAATAAGAACCACTGGCATATGTGTTCACTTTTTAATTTTTAACCTATTTTTAACTTGTAGAGGCTTCTAGAATGCTGGCCTCCCTAGGCATGTGCCTACTGTGTCTAACTGGAAATCCAGCCTTAGTTCTGATGCATTTTGGTCAAAATTCTGTCAAGTTTTGGGTTTGGAGGCAATCTAACACATTCAACCTTGAAGGAAAAGGCAAGCACAAAGCCCTGATATTGAATGCGCTTGAGATCACTCTGACAGAGACTGCTGCCTGGCATAGTTGGGTTAGGGAGACCGGAGAGAACAGAGGTGATGGTCCTCTGCATTGTTGGAGCCTGTCATAAGCTGAGAATTCTGCCAAGGGTTCTTGAGAGCACTGATTTTCTGAAAGCTAATACTGGTGGACAGTGCAGAAAAGTGGAAGTTCCAAGGCAGTGGCAATGATTTGGTGATGATGGACAAGACAGAGCAGCAGTGGGAACAGTTCCAAGATGATGGACGGCACAATGGTGGCAGACCTCAGGCAGCTTGAGTTGAAACCACAAAGAGAACAGCAGTCTGCCAAAGGGATTCTGCTGTGGGATTCTCTTTCTAAAGGACTTCATCTGAATCAAATAGTAGAGCTACCCTAGCAGTCGTGGGCAGGGTTTGGGGAGGGGGGTGTGTGTGCCTACAATTGAATTTGTTAAAGTTGGTTTTCCCAAATTCATTATATCATCTTCCTTCCTCCCTCTACCGCCCGTGCCCCACCCTACTCTCTAATAAATTGCTCATTATTTTAACACCCTGAAAAGCAAGCCACATCTCGGAGTGCACAGCTGCTGCCTCCCTTACTCTCCTGAAATTCTGCCCTTGTTGGATGGCTAACTCCCAGCAGTCCATCTTCTCTTTGTACATGATGATACAATGATATTGGCAGTGTTTCACCAATGTATAACAGGGCTACATCAGCAAGGAAGTGGGTTAACCTTTCTCTGCAAAGGTTTGAGATCTGTGTCAGCAGACTTGATGGGCTCATTCATGCTTATATGGCTGCTCACCCACGCTGTTTACTCAGCTCTACTCTCTATCTGTGGAGATGGCAGCTTTGTTTCCTTTTTTTAATCCCTGAAGCTTTTCCAGCTCATTGCTAGTTTTGTAAATGCCTACATCAGTAAAAAAAGCCCTTTCCAAAGGCAAAGCCAAGCCGTGCACAGTGGATTACAAAAATGTGCTGTAGTACACAAGAACAGCAGGAGGCCCCTGATTGCACTACACCATAGGTTTGTTTATTTAAGACAGGAAAAGTAACTTTAAATTGTTTGAATTAGCTCAAATGCAGAGTCTCTGTATGTCAGCAGTTATAAATTGCATTAATGACAGCTGAGACAGTTTCTCAAATAAACTCATTCTTCCAATACAAAGTATTTTATTGTGATCTGTAGCCACTTGCTTCCCAAACACTTACAAATAGTAGATGTTCTTTTATGGTCAGTTACTTGAGAAAAAATATCTGGTTTTGCTCCACAAAGAAATAGAACACATGGGCGTCTGCCATATACGACAGGGGACCTTGGTTTAAAGTAAAAGGTTCGGAAATGTGGCTAGTCCCAGGAAGGCGCAGAAACAGGCAAACTATTACTAAATATCTTTTAAACTTTTATTAGAATACTTCCAATTATAGTTTTTCTTTATTAGTCTCTTACATGCATGGCCGCCAAATAACTATTAGTAGGAGCAATAATCAAAGTGCAATACAATAAATGAAAATTCCCTGAGCTTTTTCTAAGTCCCAATAGTTGTCAATAAGGGACCAGGGATTATCAACAGTTATGTTTACATTAATCTTACTCATAAGTCTAATTACTTATCTAAAACTCTTAACAATACTACTTAACAAAACTTTTAACTAAGTTTAGATAGCAATACTCACACTTAGAAAAAACACAAAGTACAACAGCAACAACAGCATAGTTGGTATACGTTACGCTCTACAGGAACTCTGGTTTGGTGAGCGGGAGGTGGCCTTCGGGTGATCAGTCCTTGGGCCTGGCTCGTATTCTGCCATCCAATGTTTATTCGGGATTCCTCAATTTGATACAGGAGGGGAAGCTGTTTTATAGAAAAAGCTTTTGCGTGCTTTTTGTGATAGGCTAGCAGACCCTGTCTGTTAAGTGACAGGAGTAAGGGGGTGAGATGGTTTCCTGTTTTTCCTTTTCTGCCTTATCGGGCATGGCACAATCAGCACAACCAGCACGAACTTTACATGAACTTTTTGGGTCTGGTTTTGGTTCCTGTTCATCGCTGATCTTTAAGTTACATAGTGTAAGGGTTTTCATCAAGGGGAAGTTGACCTTTTGCTTGGATGGCAATACGCGCGAGAGGCCTGGCCAGCAAAGAGCCTGCTTTCACACCAATCTACAAACTTTATCATTGATGATTTTGTTTTCTTACAAGTCATTGGTAAAAATGTTAACTTTATAGAGCCAAAAACTGATACTTTCAGGATGCCAGTGGAAACACACCCATTCAATGATGATCCCCCATTTATAATTATGTTTTGAGACCTATTAGCCAGTTTTTAATCCATTTAATATGTGTGCCATGTTAATTTTATTTGGTTTTAATTTTTTAATCAAAATATCCTTGTGGTACCAAGTCAAACACCTTACAGAAGTCTAAGTACATGTAATCAATATTACAATACAGCCAAACATGTAATATCAAAAACTATATTAAGGTAATTTCAAAGGATCTATATTCCATAAAACATGTATTTGCATTAATAACATTACCATCCTTTCATTCTTATTTATTTGATTTCCATATCAGTTACTTCATTATCATTCGTGGGATCAATGTCAGACTGGCAGGCCTCTAATTATCTAGGTCATGCCACTTACTCTTTTTAAAAATTTGCACAGCATTAGCTTTCTTCCAATCTTCAGTAATGGCCCCATTTGTCTAAAGCTTATAGAAAATCTGCATTATTGGTCCTCAGACAGATCTTTTAAAATGCTTCTATATAAGTAATCTGAGCCTGATGATTTAAAAATATCTGCTTTTATTAATTTCTGTGTAACATGATCCAGAAATACTAGAAGGAAGGTTTTATCATTGTCATATGATGAGTTTAGATCTGTTTTCCCATTCAGAACAAATATATTTATTGAATGCTTCTGTGTTTTTTGAATTATTAACACTTCTACCATTTCCATATAGAAATGAACCAATGACATCATCAGGATACATTTTGTTCCATATATATAAATATGGTAATATTTAGAGAACTATCAGTTAGCCAATTTTTAATTTATCTATATCTATATCTATATCTATATCTATATCTATATCTATTTATGATAGATTGATTTAAAAATTCCTTATTGTCCTTAACTTTACTGAACATAAAGTTTGCTTCCTTTACCACTTTCTCACAATTCCTAATTTCTGTTACTATCAACTTCCCCTTGCTTTCAATAGTTATATGTTGTTTTCTGTTTTTTACAGATATCTTCCTTTCCTGTCCAAATCAAGTTTGTTTAAAAAAAATACAGCACTGCCTTCTTCCTTAATTGTGGTACTATGAATTTTTGGGCAGTTAGTAAGGTGTTCCTAAGTGATTTAACCCTTATACAAATGAGTCTCTTTGAAATTAGTGAGGATTCTCACATGCATAATCTTAAGCATATGCACAAGTCTTCACAGTATTAGGGCCCCAAGCAATTTCCTGAGTTTACATTATAACGTTGCACCGGATTTGAAATCACTGCATGGAGTGATAAGAGCAGTTTTTCACCAATGCACCCATGGAAAATTGCCCTAATACTAATGAAACCAGACATTGGAGGGTGATTGTCTTGCACTGACCATTTCCTGTATCTGTTCCCCATCCACAAAGTTCTTCAATTAATGGCAATATATGTACTGATTTCAACAGGCATTTCTTCATATGTCGAATCCACCATTATTCATTACTAAAAAAATCAAACAACCAGACAAACAAACCAAATCTAAAGTACCCTCCACCTCGGAAAGATGCTGATTGTTCTTTGTGTGGACCACTCCCAAGTATATACAACTTCTTAAGTGAAGGGAAAACCAGTAAAATCAAAATATTTATTTGACAATTCAGTAAATGGACTGGGAACATGGCTGACTGGTGGGAAGTGCTAGCTATAGACAGTTAGATTTTGTATAAGAAGATATTGTGGATTTTAGAGGAAGAGACGGTAGCCAGAACATTCGGTCAGGGGGTTAGATCCCGAGAGACAGTGAAAATATGCAATTCCTGTTGATGCCAGTAGGTGTTTCAGGAGCAAAAGTGGGTCACTTTTTTCAGAATTTGGCTTTGCTCTGGGTGGTTTCTGAGCCTGATAAGCACTTTTAAAATGTGTGTTGTTCTTGGACATTTATATATTTAAAAAACAATTAGGGGAAAAGATAAAATATATATTTTTCTTTCTGCGCTTACATGGTCCTATGGAGACCTATAAAAATAGAGCTAGACCCTGTTTTGCAGAAAGCTAGGGTATGAAGAGGATGGTCTGCATTTATTGATGGCATCTGCCAGTTGCCCTCTGCTCCTTTAGAAGATCTTGCTGGGAGGCAAGAAGAAGAGATTGGGGATTGCTCCTTAGAAACCACTTTGACAGAAGAGAAAGACTGGCAAGGAGATTCCTAAAAAGAATACACACAAAGTTAAGCGTATGTGCTTTTGCCAGATGTAGATTTAATTAAATCTAAGACACAAGTATGTCTGTAAAGCAACCAGAAGACAAAGGAAAGGAGGTTGACAATAATGTATAGTTACATTGACCAGCTAGAAGCAACAATTAGCTGGGGTCAAATTGTTCATTTCTTTAAGATAAAAGAAAGTATTGCCACTTATCTAGTCAGCATGGGTATGTCTACACTGCATGCTTATTTCAAAATAGCACGTCTATATTACAGGGAAGTCTCAAAATTAGTCTAAGGCAAGCTTCTCTAATGCGGACATGCTACCTCAATTTAGAGCCCTAGGAGGCACTGCACTGGGTAATAACTGGGGACGATCTATTTCAAAATAGCAGCAATGGAGCATCCACACTACAATTATTTCAGAATAATTGTTATTCCTTGTGGAATTTAGTTTACAGAAGTCAGAATAAGCCTTCTGTTATTTCAAATTTATTTCTAAAATAATGGAATTGCTGTGTGGATGCTCGCAGTGTTATTTCAGAATAACAGTTGTTATTTCAATTTTTATTCTGAAATAATGCTGCTGTGTAGACACACCCTGTTACTTTTTAGCACCATAGGTATCACAATAGTAGATTTTCTGAAAAGATTTGAGATGGATAAGTTTTAAGGACTAGTTCAGAGATGACATTCCATGGAGAAATGAAAGGATATTATTTTACAGTCCAAAGTTTATGCTTCCTTATATAGAATAGATTTTATTTTCACTTAAGTTGAAACAACCTTGAAATATTTAGGTCCCCTCTCAGGCAACCGAGCAGTAAAAAATTTGCTAGAAATATGGGAGGTCTAGGATGAGACATGGCTTGCCATTCCCCTTTATATCCAAAAGAATCGAAGTGTGACTACAGTACACCAATTAATAGAAGTAGGCAGCCTTTGTACAGGTTTTGTGGTAGGCATTTAAGACATGCATTAAATAGATGAAAATTACATATATGATGCAAATAAAAGAGCCCTTTCAACACAGACTGAAACTGGGAAAGACACTAAACTCTCTCTCTTCAACAATTTGTATTATTTATTCTTATTGTGTGTGTGCACAGGAACACCAGTCATGGACTGAGACCCCCATATGCTAGGGGCAAGCAAAAAGACAGTCTCTGTTCAAAGAGCTTGCAACCTAAGGAAGCAATCCATTGCCCCTCACCTTCATCTAGCGTGTATTTTTCTGGCTGGCCAGAAGAGGGAAACAAAGCTTTATGGCTTGGGAAGATGGAAGGGAGACAGAAGAAACTACTGCAAAAGCATTCAGCGTGTTTGCTGACTCATCACCCAGGAATGTGGGGTTTAAAAGGATCAGTCTGTGCCTGAACCATCCCCTGTTCACATGGAGCAGGTTAGGTACCACGCATCCTTCCTCCCTATCCAGGTGATAGGTATATCAGGTTATTGGCTATATCTGCTGTGGACATTATGCTAGCGAATCCATTGAGTGGAGCTCGGAAGGAATTTTTCCCTTGCTACCATATTGGCCTAGGTGCAGTTGTTCTTTGAAAGTAAATCAAAGGAACAGAAGGATTTTCCCAGCATTGGTAATCCTCTTTCTACGAGGAAAAAGCCTTTTTCTGAAAGAGCCGTTTTGGAAAAAGGCATGTGTGGACGGGGAAGAGGGAGTTCTTTTGAAAGAAGAGGAAAGAGGAAAAAGCACAGGTGCCCTGGTGGCCACTCCGCTCATAATAATCACAGCTTAAATGCGAGATAGTGTCCATTTACTGTGAATGCTATCTTTCGAAAAAGCAGATTGCTTTTTCAATGTGCTTTTGTGTGTGGACGCTCTCTTTTGGAAGAAGTTTTTTTGGAAGATCTCTTCTGAAAAAAGGTTCTTCCAAAAGAAGTCTGCAGTCTAGACATAGCCACAGTGACTACAGTGGCACAGCTATAGCACTACATCTATGCTGCGGTAGTGTAGATGTAATCCACACACCTAGGCTACGTCTAAACTGGCATGATTTTGCGGAAATACTTTTAACGGAAAAGTTTTTCTGTTAAAAGTATTTCTGCAAAAGAGCATCTAGATTGGCAAGAATGCTTTTGCACAAAAAGTGCTTTTGTGCAAAAGCATCCATGCCAATCTAGACATGCTTTTGCGCAAGAAAGCTCCGATGGCAATTTTAGCCATCGGGCTTTCTTGCACAAAAAATTAAGGTGCCTGTCTACACTGGCCCTCTTGCGCAAGAAGCACTGATTTTGTACATTACAAAGTCAGTGCTCTTGTGCAAATTCAAGCAACCAGTGTAGACAGCTGGTAAGTTTTTGTACCAAAGCGGCTGCTTTTGTGAAAAT